GCGATTCTCCTGCCTCAGCTTCCTGAGTAGCTGTGGCTACAGGCAGGCACCATCATTCCTGGCTAATTTTTGTATTTTTAGTAGAGACAGGGTTTCACTATGTTGGCCAGACTGGTCTCCAACTCTTGAAGTCAAGTGATCTGCCTGCCTCAGCCTCCCAAAGTGCTGGGGGATTACAGGCATAAGCCACCATGCCGGGCCTCATTTAAATATATCTTGATTACCGGGTGCAGTGGCTCACACCTGTAATCCCAGCACTTTGGAAGGCTGAGGCAGGTGGGTCACGAGGTCAGGAGTTCAAGACCAGCCTGGCCAACATGGTGAAACCCTGTCTCTACTGTGTTAACAATACAAAAATTAGCTGGGCGTGGTGGCAGGTGCCTGTAATCCCAATGGCTTAGGAGGCTGAGGCAGGAGAATCGCTTCAACCCCGGAGGTGGAGGTTGCAGTGAGCCAAAGTCGCACTACTGCACTCCAGCCTCGGCGACAGAGCAAGGCTCTGTCTCAGAAACAAAACAACAAAACAAAACAAAACAAACCTCTTAATTATCTCTTACCTGTTTGTTCCATTCTAGGCAGTGCATTCTTTTTTTATAGTAGTCTTTTGATAAAAATAGTTAACAGGCCAGGCACGGTGGCTTATGCCTGTAATCCCCGCACTTTGGGAGGCTGAGGCAGGCAGATCACCTGAGGTTGAGAGTTCAAGACCAGCCTGACCAACATGGTGAAACCCTGTCTCTACTGAAAAAAAAAAAAAAAAAAAAAAAAAAAACCCACAAAAAATTAGCCAAGTGTAGTGGTGCTTGCATGTAATCCCAGCTACTCTCGAGGCTGAGGCATGAGAATCGCTTGAACCCGGGAGGTGGAGGTTGCAGTGAGCTGAGATTGCGCCACTGCACTCCAGACTGGGTGAGAGAGTGAGAGTCCATTTCAAAGCAAAAAACAAAAACCCAGTAGTTAACATTAACTGAACACACATTAACTGTTAAGTGTCATACATTGTTCTATGTATGCATAGCTCAGTTTTTAACTTAGGAAGTAATTTCTAATAACAATCCTTATTTTTTTCAGATGGGGTAATTGAGGGCAGCTACTGTCAGTAACATAGACCCCAATATCACATAGTAAAGACTCATTATCTTTATCAATGATGCTTCAGTTGGAGGTAAAAAATAGGTCCTTTTCAATATCCAGTGGTGACTGTGTTCCTAGGAAGATCAGTCAAGAATACACAATCTGAAAATTTTATAGCACAGGTAGGTAGGATTAACTGCAGTGCCTCTTTAGTACACACCTGGATGTGACCATTGTGTCCACATGTTTTTCAAACCTGACAGGAAGAATAACCTTATTTGGAAATGACTTCTTAAAAGGCTATTTTTGCTGGGCTTGGAGGCATGTGCTTGTAGCCCTAGCTACTTGAAAGGCTGAGGAGGGAGGATTGCTTGAGCCCAGGAGTTCTGAGCTGTAGTGAGCTATGCCAATTGGCATCAATATGGTGACCTCCCTGGCACAGGGGACCACCAGGTTGCATGAGGAGCAGTGAACCAGCTCAGGTTGGAAATGGAGCAGGTCAAAATTCCCATGATGATCAGTACTGAGATCATGCCTGTGAATACCCATTACACTTCAGCCTGGACAACATAGCAAGAACCTCTCTCTCTCTCTCTCTCTCTGTGTGTGTGTGTGTGTGTGTGTGTGTGTGTGTGTGTGTGCTCTGTGTGTGTTTTTTGTTTGTTTTTTGTTTTTGTTTTTGTTTGTTTTTGTTTTTTAGAGCCACCTTAGGAAGAAATGTCCTTTTTTTTTTCTTTTTTTCTTTTTTTTTTTCTTGAGATGGAGTTTCGCTCTTGTTACCCAGGCTGGAGTGCAGTGGCACAATCTTGGCTCATGGCAACCGCCGCCTCCTGGGTTCAGGCAATTCTCCTGCCTCAGCCTTCTTTTTTTTTTCTTTTTAAAATACATTTCTTCCTAAGGTTGGCTTGTTTTAGGGATAGCCAAACCTGCAGGTTCTTCTAATTGATGTACTCATCTCACCAACACTAATGTTACTCTTGTTTTTAATACATTTCAAAGAGGTCATCAAACCAATAGAAGTTCACAACTGGACAAGAATGGCTAGCCAGTAAATTCTAGACTTTCTCTTTGAAACCTCATTTCTTTTTTTTTTTTTTTTTTTTGAGACTGAGTTTCGCTCTTGTTACCCAGGCTGGAGTGCAATGGCGCGATCTCGGCTCACCGCAACCTCCGCCTCCTGGGTTCAAGCAATTCTGCCTCAGCCTCCCGAGTAGCTGGGACTACAGGCATGCGCCACCATGCCCAGCTAATTTTTGTATTTTTAGTAGAGACGGGGTTTCACCATGTTGACCGGGATGGTCTCGACCCTTGACCTCGTGATCTACCCGCCTTGGCCTCCCAAAGTGCTGGGATTACAGGCATGAGCCACCGCGCCCAGCCTAAACCTCATTTCTTGTAATGCAAGAATGTAACCTCTTAATTGCTCTATTTGTATTACATCATCATCTTTAGACTTTCCTAGATACCCTTGACCTCTCTGGTATTTCCTGTTATGGTGAGTCTGTTCTAACAACCTTATTATAGTCATGTTTTTTGCACATTAACCACACTCCATGGAAGAAGCCCTTTAACATGAGACTTGTTCCTAACTACTACACTGGCTCTGGCTTCCAAGTAGAGGATTACCCTTTGATTACTTTATCTGGCTACCAGGACAGAAAGATTCTTGGGAGCTAACCTCCAATCAAGTCAACTGTTTTGCCACAGATAGTACTTTGCAGGTTTAGTCCCCTATACTTTGAGGTCTTCAGCCTCACTTTGACTTCCCGTTTTGTTCAATGATGATTTTGGAGTTATGTCAGGTGAGGAATCAATCTATCCTGTCTGGAATGTTGCTGGGAGGAGGGCTGTCTTTCTGTAATGGGGGAAAGTGTTTTTTATTTGAACTAGAGTAAGTTGTAGACTATAATGTATTGTGCAATTGTTTGATTTTAAAGAAAGCATAGCTTTACTGTTCTAAAACTGAACATCTTACGTCTGCATGCCTATTTATTATGATCTGCTCTGGGCCTTGCAGATATTGTTTCCTGGATCCTCTAACAAGTTAATTATTGGTATTAATCCTCTAATAAATTAATTATTAATGTACATTGTACAGATAAATGTAATTGGAGAGAAAATAATTTTAACAGGATCAGAATCCCTTCCAGTTCCAATTTAAATTTGAAGGCTTAATTCATGGCATCTTATAGTTCAAAGAAAACTTTGAATTGTTTAGGATATACTAACACATATTAAAGGAAGAGAAGTATGGATAAATATCCCAATAGTTGCCTAGCCGAAGCATATACTTAGTAAGTATATGAATTACTAAGCAGGTGATCACAAGTGATTTAGGGAGCCCTTTGTAGTTTTCCCCTATTTACCTTTAGCCTTTTTCCATATCACCAATGACCTCTTAATTTTCATATTGCCTATAGAATTAAGTTAGTCTGTCCAAGAAGTCACTTTGTTTTACCCTGGCCCCAGTGCATTCTTAAATATCAGGGGTTATATTCCCTTTTACTCGGGCATTGGATGCCTCATGTTGCCTTATATCAAACTTTAAATGGTACCCTCATGTCCTGAGGGCAGGACAGTAGAAGAACTCATTTAGCATTAGACTTTTTCATGATGGACAACCTGCTGCTTATTTGGAAGAATTTCATCTTCAGAATATTGATCTAAGTCCTTTGGGGCTGCTGCTACTGCCAGAGTTGTTTTGTTTGACAGTACCTCTCCAGAGCCTCAAGGTAAGGGACATGTGGTTTGAAAAGTGGAAAACAAGTCCATAATCTATAAAATACTAGAGCTTAATAGATGACTACTTCATTAATCTGATTATACCCATCAATTTTTAGGTTTGAACATTGAGATATGGGGTTGGATGTGGGGTGGCTTGTCTGTACTTCCCCAGGCTAGATTGAAAACTCAAGCCAACTGCACGTGCCCTTCGAGTACTTTGTTTTTGGAGTTTAAGATGTTTTAGAGTCTTGGCTTCTCATTTGTTATATAACAAAAGGGAAATAAAAAGAGTGGGATAGTGTATAACTGGTAAACATCTCCTGTAATGTAAGTGTTGATGTTATTAGGAATTTTATTCCTGAGGGTTTGGGAGAGGAGGGAAAGAGGGGAAGGGTTGGAGGGTCCATTTAGAATCTGTTTAAAAGAAGGAAAAGCCTGCATAGTGCTTTGAAGAAATTGATCATCAGTTCGAGAAGAAATGTGATCACATCACCCCCAAGTCGGTCCCCGTCTCGTTACAAGTCATAGCCCTACTTTTACCCCCTTTTGCTGGTTTCATGTATTTTGAGGTTTAGCAATTGTCCATGCTCTGGGTGAATTCAAACACTGTGTGAGGGACCAGTTGGTTTAGGCCATAAGAACTATATGGAAGGGATGATTTCTTGTGATATGGGGCTGTGGTGTCTGTGTGATGGGGAGCATTAGCGAAGGTGTTTGGGGCAGCATGGAGGGAAGGGTGCATATCCTGTAAGAATCAGGGGATAGGGTTTTGTAACTGATCATGTGCCCTAAAAGTCAGGAGTGGCTGCAGTTCTATTACCAAGCCCTGACAAGCAACCATTGTGATTATTAGCAGTGACTTTGAAAAATATTACTACTTTGCAGCTTTACTATTTCACTTTCAACATGCTCAGTATGTTGAAAATGAAGTTTATGGACTATCTTTTTTTTTTTTTTTTTTTTTTGAGACGGAGTTTCGCTCTTGTTACCCAGGCTGGAGTGCAATGGCGCGATCTCAGCTCACCGCAACCTCCGCCTCCTGGGTTCAAGCAATTCTCCTGCCTCAGCCTCCTGAGTAGCTGGGATTACAGGCACACGCCACCATGCCCAGCTAATTTTTTGTATTTTTAGTAGAGACGGGGTTTCACCATGTTGACCAGGATGGTCTCGATCTCTCGACCTCGTGATCCACCCGCCTCGGCCTCCCAAAGTGCTGGGATTACAGGCTTGAGCCACCGCGCCCGGCCATATGGACTATCTTTATATAGAAGTCCCAACTTATAATGCCACCATTACATCCAGCTTCCTCTTTGCCCTTCCCTGGCTTCTGGTGCCATGTTGGGGTTGATGGGCCATCCTGTGTCCTGTCAGTGTTTTCTGAGTACTTATTATTCTATTCAATTTTTGGATTGATGGGAGAGAGACAGAGGGACTAAAATGGGGATTAAGCTATGTATATTTCTAAAGATTTCTTGTGGATTTCACATGTTCCAATCTTAGTGTTTGGTAAGTACAGGACATTTAAGCAACAGACACAACTACAGACATTAGAAGTCATCTGGTTCAGCAAGTTGGCTTTAAGCATTTCCTATATTCTATGTTTTACGCTTGAGGGTACAGTTAAGAAAAGTTAACTTACTGAGAAGTTTCATTGATCCTGGAACTTTATTCACCTGATACAGGAAACCAGTGTTCTTCAAAAGTGATGAGAATGCCTTAACAAGATGATAGGAACCAGCACTGTATATTTGTTCCCCAGGGAATACTGCAACATGTAGGAAAGGCCCTTGGTGACCTAATAATACGTATTTATGAAATTCCATGAGTCCCTTGGGATGGGAGCTAAAAGGGTTAGCTTTGGGTTAGCTGTGCTTTTCACCAATTTCTGCTTGACAGGATCAGAAGACTGCTGACACAGATATGGCTATGCTGAGCTCTTCATGTTCATCTTAGGGACTCACTGCATACTATTTTTTAACTACATGTGTTACTCAGAGTTAGGAGATCTTGGATGGGACTCCAAAACGATTTAAAAGACTCCATACCTTATGTTAGGGCCAGAGCAGGTAGTAAAGCATGTAGTGATATGATTTTGACCCAGAAGGATGGTTTTAGGTATCAACATTAAGAATGTCTGCAAAAGGCTTTCAATGAAGACAACAAAGAATACCAATGCTTTCATCGGGAGGAGGAATGAGCCTGATGGTTGTAGTGCCTTTTGCTTGTGGTACACGTAGCCAAAGGAGCTCTGTGATGCCAACAGACATTGAGAAAGGTAATTTTGGATCACTGCCAGCTGAATTGGCCAGTGTACCTTGCATTGAGTACTCTATATTGCATTATCTGTCCTTTGTATGAGGTGCTTATTATACTTAGTTTTTGGGGCCCTGAAAGCTTTTTTTGCACTTACTGGTTCAAATCCCAGCATCAACTACATGTTAAAAGTAGTCAAGAAAAGAATGATTTGGCTTATTTTAAGCTTTAAGAGTAACATACTGACAGAGCTTATGAATATATGTGCACAATATAATTTATATCATAATATGAATATATAACCAGCTTAACACATCTTCAGATTTAGATCCAGCACACAAAATAGCATTTTAAAGCAAAATACTTTAGATTTTATGCATGAGAGAACTACAATTTGTACAGTTTCCACAAGGGGGGGAATAAATACTTTTTTCTGTGTCCTTGGAGTATGGGTGGGATTCATGGATACATTTCTCTGGTTCAACATTTCAGTGATGTTAAGGAGCCTCATGTTGCAGCACAGAAGATTTTTCATCGTTGGAAGTTAAGGTTAGTTCACTTTCATTGATTTCTCCCTACACTGGACTAAAGCATTTAATCTGGAAATGCATAGGTCTCTATATAGCTTGTCATAACTTCTATCCATAGAAAGGGGCTTTCTAGAACCTGTCAGCATATTGTGAAATATCTCCTATATTAACTGGTAATAAGAAATCAGAATTACAGCATTAATGAAATATCACCTAGATTGACCTAAGCAGGAAAATTTTAGATAGGAGTTTACCATCGCAACCAATACACAACAGTTCCCGAATCCTAAAAAGGTGGAGTTCTTGATGGTATTAGTGCCTATCTTCAAATTACTTGCTTTCTGGAAAGATGGCTGATAAAGTTTTGTCTGGCACCATAGTATTCCTGCTCTGTGGGAACTATATCTTTACAATAGAATCTCCACCCACTGGCAAGATGATGGCTCCAAGGAGAGTCATCTTCCAAGTGGTCATGAAGCTGTTAGCTTTTTTTTCTTTGCCTCTTAGTCAACTGGGGTTTTTCTGCTATGGTTCCGAACCATTTTACCTGGTAGACGGGGTTATATATTCCGAGTTCACCACCACTGAGTTAAGGGACCTAATGTTATTTGTATTGACTTAACTAATTTCAAACATTCTTCCTAGGACATAGTTTCATAAAACTAAGGTTTAACAGACTGAAACCCAAAATTAGTAGTATAGCTTCTCTTAGTCATTTTTAATGAATGTCTTAGTAATACTTTGGCTTCTTGAAGAACCCTTTTGCAATCCATCTGTAGCCAGGTGTGGTGGCTCACACCTGTAATCCCCTCACTTTGAAACGGTAAGAAGCGCAGATCATGAGGTCAGGAGTTCAAGACCAGCCTGCCCAACATAGTGAAACCCCGTCTCTACTAAAAATACAAAAAAAAAAAAAAAAAAAAAAAAAGCTGGTCATGGTGGCAGTTGCCTGTAGTCCTAGCTACTTGGGAGGCTGAGGGAGGAGAATTGCTTGAACCTGGGAGGCGATGGTTGCAGTGAGTCGAGATCGTGCCAGTGCACTCCAACCTGGGCAACACAGTGAGACTGTCTTTAAAAAAAAAAAAGTCCTTCTGCCTCTTTTATACATGTTGATATATGCTTCTTTGCAGTTGCATTGTCAACATCCACTCCCAGATTATTGCTGTTCTGAAGTAGTATAAAAAAGTGGTGCTACCCTATTCTCTGGCTTCCCTGATTACTGTTTATATTTTATGTGGAGACAAGGTTTTCTTGCTACGTTGCCCCGGATAGTCTGACTCCTGCGCACAAGCTATCTTACCACCTGGGTTCTTCAAAGTGCTGAGACTACAGGGGGGAGCCATGGCACCTGCCCTGGTTTTTCAAATTGGATGTAACATCCAATTAGCAGCGAAACTCAGCAAATGGAATATTTTGATATGTGTGTAAATTCCAATTTTGGTTTCTCAGGACAAAATGAAGAACAAGATTAATTCTTAGAGATATTGTTCATGCTTGCTCACATATACATAGTGATAGGTGAATCGTGTTTAGGGTTTTTTTTTGTTTGTTTGTTTTGGTGCAATGTCTAATTACATTTGCCAACTGAAGTTACCTAGTGGGGATGTTTCCATTCTGTGCCAATTGATATTTGGTACAATTTGCTCAATAAAATTAAAGATTTGGTCCTTGTTTTTGAAATGGTGAACCACTGATGTACAAATCTGTAGTCCCTAATGTAGCCTTTGTTATCTGACATGTTTTACATCCATTTTGTCAAATTGATTCACCTCAAACTTCCTTAGGTTTTGCCAAATTTGTGTGATCACATTGTGTTACTAATGTGTAATATCAGCCTATAACTTCAGCCAGCTACTTTTTATTTGTAGATGCTGCTTAGCGGCTTGCAGATAGCACTGAATATGTGGAGTTCCTTGACTGTCCACTCCGTTACCCCTTTAGAGAGTGCATTATGTGCACATTTCTTGTGTGTTTTTCAGCTTAATTAGGATTCCTCAGTTCTTTCCAGCTGATATTAAAGTTTTTAAAGAAACTATTCAATGAAATGTATTTCTATAAGTTTAGTACCTGTGTACTTTTTCTCGGGGGAAGGGGTTGGCGAGGGGAGTCATGAATTTTTGGCAATGTTAAGTAGTATCTTATTGCCCATATTTTTCACATGTCTAAATGCCAAATTCTGTGATGTATTTTTCACAAATTATTCTGAATCTTCAGTAGTGCTTTATTTGCCCTCACAATGTTGCCCTTTATAAATTGAACTTATGAATGAAGAAATTCCTCTTAGTATAGCACTTCAGTAACATCGGAAATCAATTATTCAATAAAAAAGACATTTTAAAAGACGCTTTCACAAGTAGCGGAGGAAAAAAGACATTTGATGAAGGAACCAACGTTTTTGCTTTAAGTGTAGAGGTATATATCCTTTGGTCCTTTAGCTTGAATGTTTCATAACCAAATTTGATTTCTTACCATTGTCATTTGCAAGTAATTTTAGAGCTCCTTCCCCTGTATTGTTAGCATGTATTTTTCTATCACATTTGTAATCTTAACATTTTTAATTTGGTGGTTCTTCAGGAACTTGGTAATGAATCAATTGGAAATTATGTACTAAATTTGTCTACACAGCATCCTCTTTAGCTGGTGGCATAGAGTCCAAAGTTCAGAATCTGTATCTGCTCCTAAGTAATAGGAATATTATTCTTGTCCTACAGACAAAAATAGTTTTTACAAGGACTTTTGACAAGTCAAAGTATATACAGTATGGGTGAATTTAGTTAGAAATATTTGCTAGATTCTCTTGGTTCTCATCTGGCCATTCATTCAATCCCAGTAACTCTAGGTTAATAGTGTTCAGTTTTCATAGATTGTAATGTATTGGGCCTTTCGGGATTCGTTGTGGAATTCTGGACAGTTGATGTCTAATCACAAGTTCTGGGTACATAATTTGTACCATGCAGTGTAGCATTTTGCTGATATAGATGGTTGGAAATGAGTTACAGGAAATCGGTTCCATTAGTGCTACAATTCAATGGCTCAGTGCTATTTGCCCAAAAATACATTGAAATTGGTAGAGACCTTCAAATTTTTAAAATGTAATTTTTATTGTACACTGGTACTGTAATTCTTTGGTTCACTATTGCCTCATTACAGTTAGGCCCTTTTTAAGGCCCTCTAAAATTAAGGGCCCTGTAGAAGTGATGGTCAACTCTACTTTTTGAACGAATTATTAGACTTGGTGCTGTCTTGTGAAGTAACTTGATATGAGAGACGTGTATTATGAATTTTGGCCACATGGTTATGCCCTTGGCAGAATTGCACATATCTGAAATTGTTCCCTATTTTTTTTCTAGTATTACTATCCAATGCTTCCATTCATAGTCACTAGTGTATTTTATAATTGTTAAGTGTCCTTTATTCATATACTTAAATATTTTAAAAGAATATTCTGGTAGGATTTCGAGGCCTAATAGTGTATTTCCATTGTTTGATGTATTAGAAGGGCTACTTCCTGATACCTGCATTGCCTTCCCAATCTGTTTATCATGAACTTCTAAATTTTGGGAATTCCTGTCTCACTAAGCAGTGATAATGGAAATTTGCTAGTAATCGTTTATAGTTTGTGATAGTGGCATTAGTAACATTTTAATTGTTTATAGTTTGTGATAGTGGCATTAGTAACATTTCCCTTCAGAGATTATTACTCCAGTAGCAATCTAGTTTGCTGTTCTATTAGTGAGCCAACATTAATAGTGTAGCTTTTTTGAGGGGATTGTAATTTTTAGCTATTGTAGTAGGTTCAGATATGTAGTTTTGCTTGTATGATTTCTTTGTTTATAGCTCAGTTTTTGTTACATGATATGTGAATGAGTAGGCTTGCCATTAGCTGTATACAACATAAAAACTAGATTTTTCACCCTTGAACCTTAAAACTCCATGGAGCCATCCAGATTTGTGTAGTCTGTTGGAATAAAAGGACTAGAAAGAAGCATTGTTACAGAAACCTTGCAGTACTCAGTTCACCCAAAAGACCTTTTAGAAATGTTAGTTCACCACTCCCATCGGAAATTTGGTTATAGGAAGATCATAACATCATCTGATCTCCTTACCATAGAGGCAAAATATATATTCAGTTAAAAGCTGTTTACTTATAATATCATTTTATTTCCACACCAAGATGAGTGACATCTTTAAATTGGTAAGTGTTATTATATTAAAATGGCTAGTTTCCGGTACAGTAATTTCCTCCATCTCTTATCTGTGGGGGATAGGTTGTAAGTCTCCCGGTGGATCTCTCAAACTAGATAGTACCGAACCCCATGTGATTTTACCTACACATGCATACTTGTGGCAAAGTTTGAGGTCTGACAGCAAAATTAGCATGAATTTCTTTTTCCCTCATAATTTCTCAAACTCCTGGGTTCGAATGGTCCTCCTATCTTGGCGTCCCAAAGTGCACTTAGATTCATTCCTAAAGCTCTAGGCAGCCTTGGTATACAACTTTTTTTATTCCATTGTAAACACTCACCTTTTTGCTAAAGAAAGCACTTCATGTCTTCTCTTTGGCATATCTGAATTGTTGGCATCACTACTCTTATATTGGGGCCATTGTTAAACACTGTGTTACTGCAACAGTCAATCTGAACCGAGAAGAGCACTGACTAATGGGTGGTAGCATATAACGTGGGGTATACACTGGAAAAAGGAGTGATTCTTTTTGCTGGACACCAATTTAAAATTTATGAATTGTTATTTCTGAAATTTTCCATTTAGTATTTTTGAACCATGTTTGACCCCAGGTAATAGAAACTGTGTAAAAGAAAACCATAGATAAGGGGAGAATACTGTAACTTTAGGGCTCTTTACCCCCATTTCTGTTTTGTTTCCCTTATTATTGGGAAGTATGTTCATTGTGGCCTCCTTGTGTACACAAAGTAATTTTTGGTGGAAAAGAGAGTACTACCGTTAGTCCATAAAATATGTTTCTGAAATGATGTTGGATGCTTGTTATCATGGATTTGTTTCTGATAGGGTTATTAATACGGTACCCTGGTCACTGTGCTAGTGAGCCAAAAATTAATTTGAAGACTTTCATGTATATCTGCATCTTTTTTCTCTTTTTTTGGCTTGTTACAAGTACTGGTTTATATGCTTTGACATAGTTTTATTTCCTTTGTATTGTCAGAAGTGTGCCCAGTGTTGCTACCTTGTGGACTCAAGGAATTTGTGGATATTCTGTAGTACCACCTTAGTCCATAATGCGTTGTCCTGCAATGATGTTAGTTGTATAGCTTGCATCACTAATTTGGTTTCTCTAGAGTGACTACTAATATGGTAACCTAATCACTGTGCTATGTTTAAGGATTTCCAAAGGTGCATGACGTAGTTTTTGCATTTTTCTGGTTACAGTTCCTGGCTTATAGAGTGCATAGGTATTTAATATTGTCTAGTAAGTGTGTTGATGTACAATTTCCTGTTTAATTCAGTACTAGTATTAGCGGCATGGTTCTGCTTTATTGTTACCATAAAACTAAATATATACTGTTTATCTTCATCAGGCACCAGTGTTAGTTTGTTTCTCCTAAGTAAGTTGACCTCATGGCAGTTCATCATGTCTGTGGATTATATTTTACTGCTAAAGCCTTAATGTATTACCATTTCAAAACTTTTAAGTATTGGTATTTCACATGTTTTTAAAAGTGCCGTTGTACTTTTTTATTTTTTTAAGACAAGGTCTCTCTGTCACCCAAACTGGAATGCGATGGAGCATTTACAGCTGATTGCAGCCTCAAACTCCTGGGCTGAAGCCATCCTCCTACCTCAACCTCCTGAGTGGCTGAGACTACAGGTGTGCACCACTAGCCCAGCTATTTTATTTTATTATTTTATCTGAGACAGCGTCTCGCTATGTGACCCAAGCTGGTCTCAAAGTCCTGCGCTCAACTGGTCTTCCCACCTTAGCCTCCCAAAGTGCTGGAATTACTGCACCTGACCTACGTGTTGTACTTTTATTTCAGTAAGTTCAGTTGACTTTTGTTAAATGTACCTCAGTAAGCACATGGCCTGTGGTAAGTCCTGTTGTGTACTGAAAAACATATGTATCAATGTACTTGTCATATAGTTGTCCTCTGTCTTCCAAGGTTTTTAATTTTGTTTTTTTTTAAATGGTCATCTAGGGTCCGTAAATATGATGTAGTAATGAGTGATGGTTAGTTTTGCTGGTGTTCTCTAGCAACTCCTATAGTATACTTCACAGTATTTTCATTCCCATCTCATTTTTGATTTCAAAAATAGGTTTTTTTATGGCAAAATTTATTTAGGTAGTGTGCTTTAGTGTTGTCACCTGGTGGTTCAGCACATGTTAGTGTTTTACATATGTAACTTCATTGTTTATCTTTAATTCAATGTTGCTATTTAGAGGGGGTGCATTCTAATAGTATTAACCACTTAACCCTTTGCCATTCCAGTTGGCTGTTTGGAATTTTGTCTGTTAGTAAAATCTTAGCTTTTAATGAAATGTTAGCTACTAAGAGCTGCTAACCATAGGTTAAATGGTTCTTGAGATACTGTTACTTACCATATTATGCAAGCACAGGCCCATGATTTGTCATACTGCAATGTTTGACTTAGCTACTTTAACAAGAAACATATTCCAAAATTTTATCATGGTGTGCAGTCATTGCTTCTATCTTGCTGTCCTTTATTTATTTATTTATATAATTTTTTTTTTTTTACTTTTTTTTTTTTTTTTTTTTTTAAAGAGACAGGGTTTTATCATGTTGGCCAGGATAGATTTGATCTCTTGACCTCATGATCCACCTGCCTGGGCCTCCCAAAGTGCTGGGATTACAAGTGTGGACCACAGTGCCCGGCAGCTGTCCTTTATTAAGTAGTATTAATTTAAACCATAGTCACCAAAAAGACAGTATTTTGGTAGATTTTGGGGTTTATCCGCCAGTAAGAAAATATATTTTCTACTGCTTTGTACTGGTAGATATTGTTATATTTTCAAATCTTTTAATGAAAAATATATTATCTAGTTGAGTCAGTAAGCCCTATGTATTATAGATGTGGTTCTGCTAAGATTTTTCACTACCGATGGTTGAATGTAAGGTAACTTTATCTAGTTTTTAGTTTCTTTAGTGGCTCGTTTTTGCAGTCTTACCTCTGCCACTCTTCTATTAGATTATTATTTAACCCAACAGTATTATGGGGTCTTTTGACTTCATGGCGTCACTGGTAAACTTACATGTTCTGTTGGATGAAAATGTTTCACTTATAGTACTAATTGCCATGTGGTATTCCTTTACTTTCCCCAACATTTGCTTATTTGTTTTTATTTTGTATCTACATGTATTGAGCATTTAGGTGCTTGTACAAATCCTCAACCTTCATTCATGGTCAACATAGTGTAAACATTACTTGGGGCCAACTTGCCAATGGTTTTACAGTTAACAAATGGTATTTCAGATTTGTAATAAGAGTAAATGCTTTGGAGTAGGAACGCCTATCTCAGCAATCCTGCTAAGCAATATACTCTGGATAAGGTAATAACCTTCTTTTGTAAAAAAAGAACTTGTGTTATAATTCATATAACATAAAGTTCACCATTTTAAAGTTTAGTGACTTTTAGTATATTCATAGAGTTGTGCGACCATTGCCACTATTATAGTTTACAACATTTTCATCATCACCTCATTAGCACTTATTCCCCATTTCCCTTTTGCCAACCCTGCGAACTACTAATCTAGCCTTTTGTCCCTATGGATTTGTCTATTCTGGACAGTCAAATAAATCATGGAAATTTTGACCCTTGTTATTATTGGCTTCTTTTAATTACCATGTTTTTTTGAGATTCATCCAGATTGTGGTATATATTACCGTTTTTTATTGATAATTTTTCACTGTATGGGTATATCTCATTTTGTTTATCCATCATTTGATAGATGTTTGCATTTACAGATGTTGTCTTTTAAGAATGGTGCTAAAAACATGTACAACTTTGTATGCGGGCATGTTTTCATTTTTCTTGAGTATACATTAAGGAGTATAATTGCTTTGTCATGGCATGTCTAGGTTTAACGTTGTGGGTAATTAACAGATTTTATTAAAGTGCCTGCACCATTTTACATTTTCATCTGCAATATGAGGAATTACATTTATTCATATTCTCACTTGTTGTTTTCTGCCTTTTAAAATTATGGCCATCTAGTGGATATGAAATATCTCATTGTGCTGTTGACTTGTATTTCTGCATTGAGCAACTTTTCATTTGCTTAGTGGTCATTTGTGTATCTTTGGAGAATTGTCTATTCAGATCCTTTGCTCATTAGAATTGGGTTATGTGTCATGTTGTTATCAGAATTCTTTATATAATCTGGATAACAGACCATTATTAGGTATATGATTTGCAATTATTTTCTTCCATTCTTTGTATTGCCTTTCTACTTTTTTGATGACATTGTTTACAGCACTGAAGTTTTTGATATTGATGAAATCCAATTTATCTATTTTGTTGTTGTTGTTACTTGTGATTTTAGTGTCATAACAAAGAAACCATTACCTGACCTAAGTTGTAGCTCTTACATTTAGGTGTGTGATTCATTTGGAATTTATTTTTGTATATTGTTTACGGAAGAAGTCTAACTTACTCCTTTTGCATAGGATATCCAGTTTTCTTAGCACCATTTGTTGAAAAGGCTACTTCACCATTGAATTGTCTTGGTACACTCATTGAACATCAGTTAATTCTAAATAGAAGAGTTTATTTTGGACTCTAAATTTTATTTCATTTATATCTATGTCTATCCTTATGCCTATACCACACAGAATTGATTATTGTAGCTTTGGAGTAAATTTCAAAATCTGGAAGTATGAGTTCTCCAGCTTTGTTATTTGCTTTGGCCTTTTCATGATTATTCTGAAGGCTTTGAGTTTCCATATAAATTTTAGGATCAGCTTGTAAATTTCTACAAATTGCCAGGATTTTGCTAAGGAGAGCATTTAATCTGTAGATCAATTTGTAGAGTATTGCCATGTTAGCAATATTAATCCTCCTAATCTATTAACAGTAGATACCTTTCCATTCATTTTATTTTTCATAATATTGAAAATGGAATTATTTTCTTAACTTTAATTTTGGATTGTTCACTGCTAATATATTAAAATAAAATTAGTTTTCTGTTGATCTTGTATCTTTCAGTCTTTCGGAATTCATTGGAAAAGCTTTTCTAATAATTTCACTATTAGCATTTTTTGTGGATTTTTGGGGGTTTTTATGTTTATGTCACCTGTGAATATAGATAGTTGTACTTTCTTTCCAATTGCATTGATTTTTAAAATTTCTTTCTCCTGCCTAATCACAATGGTGAAAGCCTGTACAGAAGTAGCAAGTACAGTCATCCTTTACTTGTTTCTGACTAAGGGTAATGCAATAGATTTTGACCATTAAATGATGTTAGCTGTATGTTTTTTTTTTCCTTTTACTTGTGCAAGTTCACAGATATCTACAAATATCTATATTTGTAGATAGCCTTTGTCAAATATAGGTATCTCCCTTTGTTCCTAGTTTGTTGAGGATTTTAAAATTATAAATAAATTTTGTCAAATGCCTTTTTTTATGTCTGTTGACACAATCATGAGGTTTTATCTTTGTTCTATAAATAACATGTATAAGTAACTATCATGTATTAAATTAATTGGGGAAGTGTTTCCTCTTATAAAATTTTTTTGAAAAATTATGTAAATAACTGATGTTTATTCCTTAAATGTTTGACAGAATCATCAATGAAGTTATCTGTTCATGAATGTTTCTTTATGGGAATTTCGCATATTAACTATTCAATCTGTTTTTATAAGTATTCAGGTTTTTTGTCTTTGTCAGATTTGGTCATTTGTGTCATACTAGGAACATAAACATTTTGTACAAGATATCTAATTGGTATACTATTTTTGGTTATTCCTTTCTAATTTTTTTTATTTTCTTATAACATTGGTAATAATGTCTTTTTAATTCTGATTCTATTTGTGTCTTCTGTCTTTTTCATCTTTGGTCTAGCTACAGATTTGTTCATTTTAAAAATTATTTCAAGGAACCACATTTGCTTTCCTTGATTTTTCGGTGTTTATTTATGAGATGGAGTCTCTCTCTGTTGCCCAGGCTGGAGTGCAGTGGTGCGGTCTTGGCTCACTCTAACCTTCACCTCCCAGGTTCAAGTGATTCTTCTGCCTCAGCCTCCTGAGTATCTGGGATTACAGGTACCTGCCACTATCCCTAATTTTTTGTATTTTTAGTAGAGATGGGGTTTCACCATGTTGGCCAGGCTGGTCTTGAACTCCTGACCTTGTTATCCGCCCACCTTGGCCTCCCAAAGTGCTGGGATTACAGGCATAAGCCACCATGCCCAGCTTATTTATTTTTTATTTTTTGATACAGAGTTTCACTCTCATTGCCCAAGCTGGAGTGCAATTGTGCAATCTTGGCTCACTGTGACCTCCACCTCCCAGGTTCAAGTGATTCTCCTGCCTCAGCCTCCTGAGTAGCTGAGATTACAGGTGTGTGCCACTACGCCCGGCTAATTTTTTGTATTTATAGTAGAGACGGTGTTTCACCATGTTAGCCAGGCTGGTCTTGAACTCCTGACCTCAGGTGATCCTCCCACCTCAGCCTCTGAAAGTACTGGGATTACAGACATGAGCCACCACACCTGGCCTTTTTATTTACTTTTACTCTAATTTTTTATTATTTTCTTTGTCCTAATCTTTTTTTTTGGAGACAGAGTCTCGGTCTGTCACCCAGGTTGCAGCACAGTGATATGATCTTGGCTGT